AGATAAATCAATATATTCATTCTAGTGTGAAAGCGGAGTAATGAAATTGTTTTACTTTCAATTTGTACATACTTCCGTGAAAACTTTTAGGAAAATGTTATAAAAAGTATTTTAACGTAGATCATGACAGAAATTTCAGGGGTTTTTTTATCACCGTACATAAAAAGAGCATTCCATACGAAAGGATTTAGAAAACATTGTGTTGAAATGCTATAATTGAGGCACGAAAATTATACTTTTGTATTTTTGCTTAGTCTAAAAATATAAAAAAATCGTATATAATTAATTATATAAAATTGGAAAAATTAAATCATAGCACTTGAATTTAAATAATTTAGTTTTTGTATATAAAACATATACCAGTATTAATTAATTATTCCTTTTTTTTCAGGACCAAACAACACGTTCTAAGCCCTCTGCTTTTAGGCGTACATTTAATGCACTGCGTAATCGATTAACGAGGCGAAGCCGTCCCAAACCGCCAGACTGGTTTTTAGAGAAATTTTCTAACACCACAAATACGGATAAAATTGGAAAAACTGAGGCGAACACAAATCCTCAAGGCTCCACTTCGAATGATGATGGACTGGCATTTGAAATACGCGGCACAAGCTTACTATGTAATCGTTTGTCAGTTAATACTGCTTTAGAATCACATTATAGGGTAAATATTTTATTTATTTTTGAAAATATATCTTTAACATTAATTAACATTAATTTTACTATAATTTACTTAAAGTGGCTTGCAGTCGTTTCTTTAGCTGTTTTATATAATTTAATTTTTGTTGTTTGGCGATCTGTATTTTGGGAAGTAAATAACCATGCAACTGGTCTTTGGTATGTCTTGGACTACTTATGTGATTTTATTTATATTGTAGACATATTGGTTCATATGCACGAAGGTGAGTCTAATAAGATAATAATTATTAATTTTGTTTTCAGAATACAATTGTCTGATTTCTGTTACTATATGATATTATTATTCTTAGAATGGACAATGGTACACTTTGACTTTTTAAATCTATTTTGCTATCATTGAAGAGAGTCTTCTAAGTCAGCCTGGTTCAAATAAAGTTATTGACAATTCAAACAATATCTGTTGATTCTATACACCAAACCATATTCGTTTCAATGAAAGTCAAATAGAGAAACGAGAATAATTTGTCTTATTTCCGGTGGCCGGAAATTTGTTCACATTGAAATTACTATATTGACTGCATGAATGAACGTTAGAACCATTTCATCCCTTTTCGAGTTTTATATATACTATAAAGGGGTCTATAAAATCTGTATTTTTTATTTATTTTAATTTAGAATTATTGTTTTAAAGACTTAGGAATAGAAATTGCTTTGAGGTAGGTTATCTAAAAAAGAAAAGCCAAGGTTTGCAGATGGTTTCGCAAATTTTGGAGATAACGATTGATATCGCCCTCCATGTAGAAGAGGGCGTTTTTACTTTACGAATAATGCCTATACATGTTAGACTCTGTAGTCTACACGGTTCCTTTCGTTTTCTTTATTGTTCGATTTTTGACTATCATGAGACAACTCCGTTGGCGATTTACATTTTAACATGATAGTATATAATATACAATTTATTCATATGCCTTTACAAGAATATTATAAATTAATCAGTTTTTATTATATTATTTGTTGAAATCAATTCGGTTTAAAACAAAACTTTAAATTTTCTTTTTGTATAGTAACACACCAATTGGCAATATCAGTTCAAACGACTGGCATTAAACAATTCTTGAAAAAAAAATTTTTTTTATTCAATGCAAAGTATATTATGTAATTGATTAAAACTATATAGTTAGCCTATGGATCTCTATTTTTCTTATATTATTAGTACACTCATAAGAATATGCTCTAACTAGTTACTAGTTAAATTGACCTGATCAATTTGTTAGAGAAGTTTTAGAAATTTTTGATATGGTTGTACCAACATGATGCGTCGGGAAAGAATATTTTAACCCTAAAATTTAGTTAAAATCAGGTTAAAACAATCAAATTATTTTTCTAAGTATAATATATTAATGAGAAAAGAAAATACTCATAATTTTTTGTCAAAGTAAAAATGGATTAAAATTTCATATTAGATATTTTCATGCATCGTTATATAATTCCAATGTTATTTTTCTGTTTACAGAGTACTATAAAATTATGACTTTGTAAAAAAAATTCCACAATGACAATAACTTTTTTCTTGAATTCCTTTGACTTCTTCCGCAAATGCACCCCATGAATAGTCATTTGCAAAAGCCTCTCAAAAATAACCTTGGCATTTAAAATGAAAATTTTTAACTCTTTCGAAGAAATTTATTAGTAAAATGCTGTAAAATATTTTTTGTATATGTACCATTGACTATTGTTTTTGCTGAGAATATTTCTTTATATATTATTAAATTCCATATTGAACGAAAAGACATTCTGAAAGTTAAATATATACGATTCGATTATTTTATTTGATTGGAATTTTACTATAAGATGTAACATTTTAAGTGTATTATATTTACCGTATCAGTCTTAAAACATTTAAACATTATTAAAGATTATTTATAAAGAAATTAATAAAGAAAAACTAAATAAATATATATTTCCAATTATAACAGGTTACTTGGATCAAGGTCTTCTAGTACGCGATGCATATAAATTAAGACGTCATTACTTCAGTCAGAAAGGTTGGATAATTGATTTCCTTTCCGTGTTTCCTACAGATTTAATGTATATACTGTGGCCCCCACATTCTTGCAATGAGACATTTTTACCATGTCCGATTATCATACGGTTAAATCGTCTCTTACGAGTGCCACGTATGTGGGAATGGTTTGATCGTACAGAAACTGCAACAAGCTATCCGAATGTATTTCGCATATGCAAAGTTGTGCTGGCAATATTGGTGCTGATTCATTGGAATGCTTGCATGTATTTCGCTATCAGTTATGAAATCGGCTTCAGTACAGACAATTGGGTATAT